AAATATTTTAAACAATTAAATAAATTTATAATTTAAGATTGCTGTTTTGTTAATATAGTTATTATATTATAAAATTGATTAATTATAAAATAAAAAATAATAATATAATATAATGTAATATAATATTTTTAATCGACAATATATAAGTTATAATAAATTAATTTTAATCATAATTTTTGCTAAAAACATAGAGCACATTATAACCAGCTTTAGATAAAATTATTTATTAATAGAGAAATTTTTATTATTATTATTGAGAATAATATAACTAAAGGAAGATAATTTATGTATAATGTATTTTATTAATATTGTAATAAAGAATATAAATATAGAAAAAATATATTTTATTTTGACATATATAAATTGTAAAAGAAGAGTTGATATCTTTAACGTCTTAATCCAATATGGCTATTGTGAGGAAATTGAAGTTTTTAATGCGTGTTTAGAGCATCGCATGATGACTAATTAGTATTATTATTATAGAGTTCTTTCTAACCATGACTTTAATAATGAAGCTTACGAGTACTCGGAGTTGTAAGTATAAAAACGTGATAAAATGCCTCTTTGCAGAAACTATGATAAAATTTATTACATAAAATAAAAATAAAAATGTCTTATTTCTATATTTAATTATAAATTGAATAATATTTTCTAACTGACATTTTTATAAAAAAATTTTTTTATAACAATTTTTTTATAAAAAAATAAAAAGATAAAACAATATTTTTCATTGACATAAATTTTACGTTTCTTGAAGATTTAATTTCACTGGCCTCATTGTTTGTAATTATTTTTTGAGCGAAAGATTTATTTCATAAAAAAGTTGTATATCAGCAAATAAAACATTTTATCATTTCTACAAATTTTATGTCAAAAATTGATGACAATTTATAAGAATAAATTAATATTTATAAAGAAAAGATTTTATACATAATAGTAAAAAAGATTTCATTAAAAATTAATACCAACTTGTAATTATTAGTAAGATTTAATATAATTTAATATAATTATTGTACTATATAACGTTATATATCATAAAAAATTTAATGTGCAAAATTATATAATAACAATATTTTTTATATATTATTTCACAAACTTTAAAATTTATTTTTTTTAATTATAGTGTAAGACACGAATTTGAAAATCATATTCATAATTTTAATATATGCTTTTAATATAAAAATCAACATAAAACATTTAATTCTATTATAAAATTAAAACAAAAATATTTTTGTTAATTAGTATTAAATAATTATAATAGATCGATAGAATTATAATAGATTAATTATAATAGATCGTAATTTATTATAATAGATCGAGCATATGTTCAAATTGATAGTATTAATAGACAATTTCAAGCAAGTAGGATCATAAGCATCTAATAATCTATTTTCTTACTTTTTTAAATTTATATATATAAATTTAGAATTAATGCTTATGTCACCAACTAAACTTGAAAAATAACGCGTTGTTTTTAACAGACTAGTGTTATTAACAAAGCAAAAATATTAATGATTAACGTATTATAGGATAACACAACTATATTTCTTTTTTCTTTTCTTCTTATTTATAACAAGTATTTGTAATCATATATATGTTACTACAAAAGTCTTATCTTCGATGAATTCTAGAATTTATTGATAAATACTAAGATTTAATTTCTTTATTTAAATTTATTTGATAAATGTTAGAATTTAAATCTTAGAATTGATCAAAATTCGGACTTTTAATTATACACACACACACACACACACACACACACACATACACACGCACGCACGCACGCACGGATATGTACATAAGAATATATTATTATATTGTGTATTTTATAATGTATTTATAAAAATCTAATAAATTTATTAAATTCATTATGTTAATTGCAAATCACCATGATAGCTAAAATGTCAATGATAGCATTGTATATAATAATCATTATACGATCATTGTAGAATTTTTATATTTAATGTTTAAATACTAATATATTTTATTGCTGTATTGATTCGTCTTAATTCTAAAATATTGTATTGTTTTTGTAGCGAAATTATTGGTTAATGATAAATAACCGTCGCGTTTAGTTGGAAATAAAAAAACAATATAAATTTTCTAAATTTCATTTAAACAATGAAAATGGAAGACGTGTTCAAATTGTATTTTATGAAATTATGATTATATTAAGGATGTTATATTACCTAATCATGTAAGCAAATATATATATTTCTTTTTGAATATAAAATAATAAATAAAATAACTGAACAATGATATTTAATAATAATAAAAATAATAAACAATGTTAAATATTAATGTCTAATAATTATTAATATATAATACATAGAAAATAAATATAAAATAATATAATATAATACATAGTAAAATATAATATAAAGTATGTTTTATTCATGTCAAATTACATCTTTAATATATATATATTTTTTGTAAATAATACACACACACACACACACACACACACACACAACAATAAGCAGACGAGGCGACAGGCAGGCAGGCAGAGGAACGGAGGAAGAAAAAGGAAAAATAGAAGAGGAA